GAAGAATTTGTTATTTCAGAATATATTATGCAATCGTCAGCAAAGAGTCTAACGTTAATGTCGATGTTATCAGTTATATCATTAATATAGAGCAGGAAGAGGAGGGGGGAGAGTACTGAACCTTGAGGTACTCCTGAACACACGGCCTTATTAGCTGAGCTATTTCCGTTAATTTTCACGAATTGAGATCGTCCAGAGAGGTAGTCAATAATCCAATTTACAACTTGTCCGTCGCCTAGGATTTTCGTTAACTTGAAAATTAGTTTGTTGTGGGAGACTCTGTCAAACGCTTTTGACAGGTCTAGAAAAATGACATCCACTTGGCTTCTTCGATTTATAACCGAGGAAAAGTCGTGCACGCTTTCAATTAACTGGGTGATGGTTGACAATCCGGATCGAAAACCGTGCTGGCATACACCTAAAGCGTTGTTTTCTTCGACGAAAGCAGTGATATGCTTTAGAATAATATGTTCCAATAATTTGCAACATGTTGATGTAAGTGAAATGGGCCTATAATTTGAAATGCTCTCTCTACTGCCCGATTTATGAATTGGGATAACTTTAGCTTGCTTCCAGTCGGGTGGAATTTTTGATTCTTGCAGCGATTTCCTATATATTAGTGATAAGTATTTTGACACCCATTCTGCGTACCTTATCAGAAATGCGTTTGTAATATTATCTGGCCCGGCACTTTTTTTAGGGTCAAGATTAAGAAGAAGACAGAGTATGCCGGCCTCAGATATGTTGCCCACGGTATCTTGTAATTGCATATTCATGTAGGGTGGCATAACGCCGTTGTCGCGTGTAAAAACTGAAAGGAAATAATCATTGAAGTTGTTTGCCTTGTCCGGGCTATTGGCGATTTCTGTATCGTTTTTTCCTTTTGCGCGCGGATTTATATACCTCCAAAATTTATCTGGGGCTGTTCTGATGAAGGAATAAAGAGTTTCGTTGTAAAACTTCTTTTTAGCGCACTTTATTTTGCTCCCGAGTTCTTTAGTTAAGTTCGTGATTTGTTCCTTCTTCGATGCATTTTTCGTAATCTTTGTTTGTTTTTGGAGTCTGTTAATTTTTCGCTTAGTATGAATAATTTCACGCGTTATCCAAGGATTTCGCTTAGCGGTTCTTTTAATTTTAGTTGGAATATAGGTATTCATACAATGGGAAATTATTGACTTGAAGGAATTCCAAAGGTCATTTGTGGAACTATCTGATCGTAGGGAAAGTTCATAAAAAGGGTCAAATTGAAAATCGAAACAATCCAGGATGGCTACATCATTAGCACGATTTAAGTCTAAAACTTGAATAACTTTGCTTGTATTTTTTGGCACCGTATCTAGTCTAAGCGAGGCTACCACAATGTCATGGTCAGATATTCCGTCAACGATGTTCACGTCTAGTTCTTTTAGAAAGTAGCCGCTCACGAATATCAGGTCCAGGACACTCTGCGAGGAAGCCTGTGTACGCGTAAAGTCTGACACAATCTGGGTCAACTCATAACTAAAGCAAATATCGCACATAGGATTTGTTCCGTCAAGGCATGCTAAGGGGTCTTGAGGTTCGGGCCAAGTAAATTCAGGCAGGTTGAAATCGCCCGCCAGTATTATTTTATCATTTGGCTGAACGTTCGATTGCATGTACTTATACAGAATGTCAAAAAAATCAGCAGTTTCGTTTGGGGGCCTGTAAGCAGCACCAACGTACAGGGTAAAATCATTAAACCAAAGTCTACACCACAATGACTCAATGCCCGTCACGTCCGGCATCGGCGTGGCTTTAAAACACGTTTTGTACAAGATAGCTATCCCACCGCCGCGTGACTGTCGATCTTTTCTTATTACTAAGTAGTTGGGTATATCAAGCTCGTTATCTTGAATATGCGACGAAAGCCAGGTTTCCGTCACTATCAAAACATCTGGATCGTGAGTCAAGGTTATGGCTTCAAGCTTTTCCAATTTGTTCAACAGGCTTCTTGCGTTAACGTTTAGTATTTTTATTGCAGACTTTTTAGTATCATCCCTCGGACGCCGTCATTTGTGGGTACTGCTTCCAGGCAGGGGAGTGATGTCGTTTTTGTTTTCATCCCATGCGTACATTTGGTCATTTATTTTCACTTTGTCGAAGCGTAGAGTGACCTTATCTCCGGACGTTTTGTTTGGTTTCGTTCGCTCTAGCATCTTTTTTCTGACTTCTTGTACGTTTTTCGAAAAGTCTTCGTTTATCGAGAATTTGGATCCTTTAAGCTTCTGACAGTTTCGTAGGATTTTCATTTTGTCTCGAAAATCTAAAAGTTTCAAGATGACGGGGCGGGGCTTTTCAAGCGAGAATTTACCGATGCGGTGAATTCTTTCGATAGGTACAGGTTGTAGCTGCAAGCGATCTTCTATTATTTCTTTCATTACCCTTGCTTCAAGAGTGCTGCTGTCATTGCGTCCAGATTCTTCAATTCCATAAATTATTAAGTTGTTCCTACGACTACGGTTATCTAAGTCGTCATACTTGAGTTTGAGGTCGTTTAGACTGGTTTCCAGAGCCTGTACATTCGCGATGCAAGTATCAAGTTTTTTTTGCATCATTCCTAGCTCTTTGAGGCTGGCTTCAATATTGTCTAACCTAATCGACGTGGTTTGTTGGTTTGTTTTGATTTCATTGAGCTCGCTTCCTATTGCGTTCAGCTTAATCATTACATCCTCAAGGGTAATAGGGCCGGGGTTGCTCTCAACGTCTCCGCAGAGCATAAGAAGCTTTTTCAACAGTTTGAAAACAGTGCACAAAACAGCAAGTTGGCTCCGTGGGCACGGCAGCAGGACTAAGCAAACGTCGTCACTTCTAATCGAAGATGTGTGACCCCCTCTTACCTGCATGAAAAACAGGAACGGGTTTGTGGCCGTCATCCTTGCAGAGCCACCGTGCCCACGAAGCGTATGTTCCCGGGGAATCGCCTTTATACGATCCAGTGCCGTTGATGCATCCGTCGATGCCGTTGACGATTTGTGAAGATAGCCGAGGAAACGTAGTTGCACAGAAGTATCCAGTCCATGGTACGACGTCGGCAGCAGCTTCGCTGTTGGGGCGTCTATCACAGTAAAGCGTTCGTCACGAAAGGCAGAATATCGATGGTCCTCCGTAAGATGACCAAGCGAAAATGTGGTCAGCACCTGCATGAAAAACAGGAACGGGTTTGTGGCCGTCATCCTTGCAGAGCCACCGTGCCCACGAAGCGTATGTTCCCGGGGAATCGCCTTTATACGATCCAGTGCCGTTGATGCATCCGTCGATGCCGTTGACGATTTGTGAAGATAGCCGAGGAAACGTAGTTGCACAGAAGTATCCAGTCCATGGTACGACGTCGGCAGCAGCTTCGCTGTTGGGGCGTCTATCACAGTAAAGCGTTCGTCACGAAAGGCAGAATATCGATGGTCCTCCGTAAGATGACGGCATGATGGCCACGGTAACTTGACTAATGAACTAAAATTTCATAATGAAGTGTTTTTACATTTGGTTTCGAGGGGCAATGTTAGAATTGCCGTATTAATAATACCAATGATAATTTTTTCTGTCAAAAAAAAAAATGACCGGGGAGAGACCGAGAAAAAAAAAATAAAAAGCTGCATGATGCACCTTAGATTTGGCAGCAGTGACACTGAAAAGTAAACACAAGAAAACCCATGAAAACGCAGCACCGAAAAACAACCAGTTCAGAATTCAATTTAATAAAAGACACCTGCACATAGCAAATTACGTACAGGCACAGTATAGCCCAGTGCAACGAAAAAATGTAATATATAATAGAACTTTACATCGCTTATCACCCGGGAGGAAAATGCTGAGTCACTGAGCTGTGGACGCATGCGCAGCGTCTGATATACCGCGCAGCAGAGCACAACAGCGCATGCTCAGAAGACGCTCCACAGGCCAGCAGACAAAGATGGCAGCTCGCAGAAGGCGATTTTCGTCAAGGTTTATATTTATTGCAAACAAGGTTTGAACGATGATTATAATGCATTTACTACCTCTTACTGGTGAAGTAAGAAGGTTCATGTTTTGGGTGTCAAGAAGGGCAATTACTATTATAGGTCAGACCTGTTTAAAGAACTTGCGAAAATGTTATGGTTTCTAAGATATTAAACGACCAATTTCGTGTTTTTTCGCCCGATTTAAAAATAGTGTTAAAAAGGAGGGTATTAAGCCTCGCCCACAATAACGCTTGGAAGAGTGACGTAGTCGTTTCAATCATATGTCGTCACTATTTCGGTAGCGTGTCTTTGGTGGGTGCGCCGACGACACAAGTGACGACGTTCTCAAAAATCATTTCCTTTTCGCAAATTCTTTAAGGTGGTCTGACCTCTAAAAGTAATTGCAGTCTATACTACAATTGCAACATGGCTCTTAAAACCAACAATTAAGAAGATAAATAACAAATTTTAGTTAACTAGTCAGCCTAGCATAACGATTAATATATCATTCAACGTCCGCCGAACGTATACATGAAGACACCACCACGTCAAACCTCACCCCCTTAAAAAAAAAAGAAAAAAGAAAAAAAGAAAGTTGATTTAAAATTATGCACACTGTATAATAATTCACATTGGTTGAATCAAGAGTCACTGAATATGTATTCAGTGACACTAGTCGAATCGTTCCACTGGGTATTTGTACAGTGATCCCCAAGCTTAACGCGGCCGCCACGAAATGGTCCGCTTTTGATACTTTTTGTGACATTCCTGGCACCTGGGCCTACCGGTCGAGCTTTGTGGTGACGCTTTAACCCTTCGATCACAACCCAGCCCGAGGAAAATATCCCAGCTGCTGCAATGACCAATCTAGCTTTGACTAGCCTACAATAGATAAATAGTTTGGCAACCAAATGGCGGCACAAAGTTTGAGGAGCACTTACATCGTGGTCCTGCGTCGAAAGTTTGAACATAATATTTTAGCATGTAAACCGCCTAACATCAAGCCCGCCATTCTAATCCATCATACTCATACATCCCAAACAGATTTGGCATGATAGCCGCCATTGACGAGAGCGGAACGATCGAAGAGAACTTCAGCGGATGCCAGTTCGAGAATGTCGTCGATGCCACGGGCTGCTGTGTGATCCCCGGTAAGGCGAACTTTTTTCGTGTACGAAACCGCACACCACATTCCTCTGTAATTGACACACACCTCGTAAAAAAAAAAAAAAAAAAAAAAACTATGTTATTACAAGAGGTATAGTTTTGTCCAAAATGCCATCTGAATTCGCTTGAAAGGATATTGCATGCAACGGCACAGAGTGGTTACTTTGCTGTTACCACCGTCGATGGCAGATCAATCATTCAATCAAGAGTTCATTTATTCAATTGATCGACCGACCAATCAATTGTTTTTATACACAGTAGATGCATGACACAAGCTGTCGAAAACCCATCTGGGCCCATGTAGTCATTTTGGCTAGCTTGGGCTCATTTGAAAATATACATAGGGCGCTTACGTTACGGTTATTTTGTCGCCGGGGCAAAGTTGGTGGGCATGGCGGCCACATAAAAGAGGCGATATTGGTTCATTAGTTAGATAATAAGCTAAAGGTTACATTTCTAAATTTTTATGTTTGGGGGGGGGGGGGGGGGGGGGGGAGTCTTTAGGGAATCCACCTTTTCCCAAATCACCTAGACTCGCGACTGGGTTCAAGACGTGGCTAGAAAACAGCGCGCGCACAAGGCCTCTCCTACCCGTTCGACTCCCAAAACAAATACTCCTAAAACGTCAGCTACATCCTGTATGCCCATTGAGTCGCTGTGGCCTAGATACGGCTCCCCCGAACTACGCTCCATCGTGATCGTGGGTTGTCTTCGACCCCGAAGTTCATACAAAGAAACCGTCTAGCCTCTTTGCTCGGCCAAAATGAATGATAGAAAGAGAGGGAGCCAAATCCATTTACTCTCGAACCGATATTTCTGCAAATAGTCCACTGACGCTCGACCTCAATATTGTGGCGTGAAAGTGGCGAGCCCGGCGCTGCCAGCTTGGGCGCTGATGCGCTCGAGAGGCAGCGCGTGCCAGGGCGTGATTCGTTTCACGAGACTAGATTAGTTTCAGCTAGTGGCACTAGTTTCAGCCTGGCCTCGGCAAACCGTCTGCTCCGTGTATTCTTCACCCCTTCCGAAAGTGCATACCCTCCGTTGGTAGCTGTGGAATTCCTGCACAATGACGGACAGGGGTGCGAGCTTCTTGGATCCGAATGCGTCCCGGCTCACGAGCTCTCGTGCCGCGAGAGAACAGGTCGAGGCCTACCGCTCGCTCTACTTGTACGTTCCGCGGTGTCGGTTGTTCCAACATTGTGCAATAAATCGTTTTTTTTTTTCTTTTCATTTTTTTTTTTAGTTGGTACCTGATTTTTGAAAGGAGTCTATATGATCTAACCGTGCATTGAAATGTTTAAAAATTCGTACCGCGTTCAGTTTACGCAGACGGCATTCGTCTCTGATAAACTGAACGTTCAGTTTACCAGGCGGCACTAGCGAGTTCAGTTTACCAGACGACATTCGGAAACCACAGGCAACGATACGGGCACCATTAAATTCTTGTTACTAAGTCAGGATGGCGGCTGCGCGGGAAAGCCCACAACTCCTGTACAAATCACTGTAAAAAGTCGCCTTCATTTTTAAGGTCTCGTCGACTCTCACACGCATCCAGTCTGGGCTGGAGACCGCGTGCACGAGTTTGCAATGAAGGTGAGTGGCGGAACACGGTTCCTCGCATAATTTTTTTTAATGCGAAAGCATTAGCTGGTTAAATGCACCTAAATTCCCCGATCCCAAAGGAGTGGAGTAAAGCTGATGGTTTTCTGCTCCGGTCCCATTGGCTGGCGCGGGTCGACGAGGCTCCCATTGCCCGCTGCGCGTCAGTTTCCCCGACGGCTCAACCCATGGCACTGCGTGTCTGTCAGCGCGTCGTCCAAGGTCAGCGCGCCCAGGAGAGCGCGCGCGCTGACCGGCGACGAAAAGTATGCAGCAGACGAAATAAGGGAGCGGACGAGCGGCTTCCATGCTTCCGCATTCACAACTCATAAGAGGTGCTTAGGTGTACCTCGAGCCTTTTTTTTATCATACACCCTGTCCGCGTCGTTATCATGCGCGGTCCGAACCAAGCTGGACTGAGGATTACGGGTCACGAAAGCTGCAAAGTTCCAGCAAGTTCTTGCGAGTCACGTGACGTCACCGGTGACGTATTGCGGCTTCCGCTGGCCGTATTCGAGTTCAATACATTTCAATATTCGGGGGCCTGTAGCGGCCGCAACCAACCCCAACAGTCGGGTGGCTTCTTTCCTCTTTCCTTGTAAAGAAAAGCAGGATAACCCCCCCTTCCCCTCCCCAAACCTTCCACTCTTTCCACTTTGGCGAGCGAGCGCTGGAACTGGCATCGTATCCAGTGTTCGCACGCCCAAAGTGGGAAGAGTGGAAGGCTTGAGGGGGGGAGGGGGGGGAGCTTGTCTTACTTTTCTCAACTTTCCACTCCGCTCATTTGCATTAGACTGCGCACCTGCAGCGCCAAATCCTTCCCTGGCGGCGGGCAGCCCCGTATCCGAGAAAACGTATGCGCATCACGCTGTCCACGCTGCGCAGAGGGAGAGGGCTGCCACTGAACCACCGATATACCAGGTTCGCCAAGACAACAGAGACGGTTGTCCCTACTGTTGTGACGGATTTCCATGACGATGCATTCAGCAAGCAGCCCCTCCAAATTCAAAGGGGGAAACCCCGAGGCTGAGTGCGTCTAGGCATTCTAACTTCGCAGCAGCTGTCGGCGCCAAGGTCGTTGGATTTTCGCGGCGTAAGATGTATTCCCTACTAAAGTATTTGGCCTGGGGCGGAGAGGAGAGTAGAAAAGCTTCCACGCTTTGCAGGTCCAATGCTCTACTGAAGGGGGGACCCCTTGATTGGGGTTTTTCTTTGGGAGGAGGGGAAAAGCAAGTATCACGGCGGTGGTTGTTGGGTGCAACTGTTGCCCTTCGCCCATAGCCGACCCACTGGTGTTGCCTTTTTGTGCTCCTTTGCGGGGCTGGGCTGCTGTCGGGCTCTGGGGAGTCCTTTCTTCCAGTCGGTCTTTCCTGGGCTGTTTCTTGGTGTGACCCATAGCTCAGTTCCCAATTGGCTTTTTGGTAAAATTTCCACTTGATCAAGGGATCAAATTCATTTATATCGAATTGGTTTTAATATCGGCTTACCAGGCGGTACCGATCGAGGATCGGTACCGCCGGCTGTGCTGATTTGTCATTATTTTAATTTTTTCACCTTAACAAATGTATCGGATAGCGGAAGTCGCGAAGACTTGGCGATTTTCGGGACCCGCAATTCGGTTTGGTTTGGACCGGCCTTTACCAGTTTTGGACTGGCCGGCCCGGAACTGTGGAACCAACTTCGCCATCGTTTGAAATAGAATATGCTTCTTCGTGGCAGCGCAAATAGTCCTGGGGTCGTCCTCTGGATTCTCTAAGGTTCCAGAGATGTCTTGCAGTCGTTCATGACATCATGGGACATCTGTGGCGCCTGGGATCCACAGATAACCCTCTCCCTACCGAAAATTCCGGTATAACTTTTCACTATCCGGATTATGGAACCGGAAATCTATCTGGATTCTATCTGGACTCTATCTGGAATTTAGGTTTTCAGAAAGTATTCCTTTGTTCTCAATCTGGATTTCGGGTTTCCAGTAACAAATTTCCGGTTCCATATTCCGGATAGGGAAAGTTATACCGGATGTTTCGGTAGGGGCTCCTAATTATTAAGAGAAAACGTGTTTTTTTTACTACGCTTGGGTTTTTTAAAGCTTTTAGCAGTTGGCCAGGCAGCTGCTCTGGAACTGGAGGAAGGGGGGGGGGGGGGGGTCAGTCGCTCCTACAGGCTGCAGTGGGGGCGACTGGTAGATTTCAAATTTTGTTTAAGTATCCCTTTAAAACGCTCTTCACATTTGGCAACGTCGACAGTTAGCCGGAGCATCGTACCTCGAGATCCACGCTCAGGGAGGCGGCATTCACTTCACGGTCGACCACACCAAAGACGCGTCCGCGGAAAGCCTCTTGGATTCCCTGGTGGATCGGCTCGGATGCATGCTTCGCTCGGGCACCACCCTGGTCGAAGCCAAATCCGGCTATGGTCTGGACCTCGAGTCCGAAGTCAAGCTGCTGAGGGTCATCGACGAGGCCAGGGCTCGGACACCGATCGAAATTTCGAGCACCTACTGTGGCGGCCATGCGGTGCCCAGGTGAGCCAACTCACACTCCATAAAATGTCGGATTCTTTTTTTTATATAAATGTATGATTATGAAATTACAGTTTATTGCTAAAGATGGCCCGGATACGTGTGGCCGAAAGGTGCTACGTGTTGAGATAAAGGGGTAGCCACCGATTTTTCGAGATGCTCAAACTAAAGTAGATCTTTTGAATACCCTGGTCTTAGTCTTTCCGGCGTGCTATTCGGTATGCTTAAATTCAGAATAGCCTTTGAGTGGAAGGTAAGCGAAAGTTAAATGCCAAAATTAACGATCAATTTCTACCGCGCTCTTCAGTGGCGCAAGGTCACTGGCACGCAGACTTGCGCTGTAAACGCGCTGTAAACACAGGCCGGTGCATAATCGAGTCCTGTTTTTGAGTTTTAGTAGATCGCTCCGATTACTCCGATAACGATACCCGCTACTCTGCCGATGCCTTAGCGCGTGCATCGTGTCGTTATCAGATATCGTTAACAAAACGCTATACTAAAACTCCCTAATATGTAGTTTTAGTAGCTCGTTCCCATACTTCCAATAACGATACCCGATAACAATGCGATGCATGCACAAAGCGTTAGGGAATATTAGTAGATTGTTCCGATTCCTCCAATAGCGATACCCAAGGTGATGCATGTGCCAAAGTGTCGGCGGAATATTGGATATCGTTATCGGAGTTATAGTAACGCTCTTCTAAAGCTCCCTATTATCTGGCGTCTGCCACAGGCTTTCAGGCGCGTCAACGAAGTAACGAAATCAAACTGGTATGACGCACCACCACATGTTATTCAACATGTATGGGCGTGCCAATTCCTTTTATTTAAATCGTGGCACAAAAAATGGGTTGGCGCGATTGTCTTTGTGGCCGACAGAGGAAAAACCGTGGGAGAAGCCACGGAGGACATCGTCCGCAAGCAGATACCGGAGATCAAAAGGCGGATGCTGGAAGGCACTCTGAACGTCGAGAACATCGACGTTTTCTGCGAGGAAGGAGTCTTCGATGTTGACAGCACCAGGAGCATCTTGCAGGCCGGCCGGAGCCTCGGTCTGCGCCTCAACTTCCACAGCGACGAGCTGTCCTGCATCGGAGGAACTGAGGTATGAATCTCAGGGTGGAGAATAAAAATCAATATGATTTACATCAGACCAGTTTTACTATGACGATCTAAATCGATCCGTTCCCGCAAAAATAATCCCGACAATAATTTGTATTTACCGTTTGTATATCATTGAATATTTTCGTATCAAAGGATCATCAAGTAAGAAATATTTATATAACGCTGAACACGAGCGCCGAGCTTGTGTTCATGTTCAGCCTTACGCAGTCTTGGGTAGTAACGCGTTACTAGTAACGCGTTACTGTAACTTCGTTACTTTTTTGGTAACTTGTAACTGTAACGAGTTACTTTTTGAAAAGGTAACTTGTAACGGTAGTTCTATTACTTTTTTCTCAGGTAACGATGAAAGTAACGACGTTACTTTGGTCGTTACTTTCCAGTGTTTTACGAATAATATATCACTGCATGAGGTGCAATTTAGCCATTCCTTGCACTTTCCAAATCGTCCATTCCGACATTTCGAGTGTCAAGTTGGCCTTGCACAAAGTTGTGAATACGTTCTTTCTCGCGAGTCACGACCCGAATATAGCCACATGTAGATTTTATGAAAAAAATATCTAGTTATCTTTAAGCACGCGCTTGTACTTTGTGACTGAACACACATCTTAGTGTCTTGAAGCACTATCTATGTTGTGTTTTTTTCTTTTTTCTGTGCAAACGCTTTTCAATCGGGTGAATCAACCGTGAAACAACAATACACACGGAGGGCACTGCGAATGTTTCGTATTTTGATTAGCGCCACGACTTCGCACTGCGCATGTTTCGTTTCTTGATTTGCGCCACTGCTCTGGCGTGGAAACTTTCAAACACTAACTTCGAGAAGTAACTGCTGCTAAGTTACAATATGAAGTAAAAAGCATACTTTTTAATTTTATGCAATAAAATGTTGTGAGAGGCGTTTTCTAGTTTTTTCTAATATTTTTTTTGTGTTATAGAAAAGTAACTGAAAAGTAACGTCGTTACTTTTTAAAAGTAACTGTAACTGTAACGAGTTACTCTTTTGTTGCAGTAACTGTAACGGTAACTTCGCTACTTTTTTCTGAAAGTAACTGTAACTGTAACGAATTACTTTTTAAAAGTAACTTACCCAAGACTGGCCTTACGGAGCGTTGAGCTCGATTTCTACCTTTTATTTTGTTCGTCAGCTATGTAACATCCTACTGCAACAAAATCAGAACGCAAAAGAAACGAAAAATAGAAAATGATGTCCTATTGAAATCAAATCAAAACGCAAAAGGAAAAGAGCAAAATATTTTTTATCATTATAATAACAGCGCCCAAGCAGCGAGGAAGAGAAGAGAACACAGGGAGTTGATGTATTGTATGTATACATCATTTCGGAGTCAGCGCTCTGTGTTCTCTTCACTTATCTTTTTCACTGCTTATGCGCTGTATTTTTTTATTTTTTTTAATATGAGGCTCAGTTACTACAAAAAAAATTAACTAACAAGAAAAAATAATTTGTTTTTGTATGGAGGGGATTACGGCAATAAAAACTTGTTGAATAAACTTTACATTTACGGTTATTTTTTTTTGCTCCGCGTTGTTACCAGTGATATCGGACGAATTAATCAGTCAATCTGCCAAGTTAAGAAATAGATCTAGTGGTATAAAGAATCACTATTTCCTAGCTTCAGTGATTTATAAAGGGTGTTCCATACAACAGGCCCTACTTCGCAATCCTAAAGGTACTATTACTCGAGATAAAGGTGCTGAAGGGTGTAGCCACGGGTGTAAAACACTCTTTTACACCCTGAAAGGTGTGAAAAGTTACTCTATTATATGGTCGAGTCGTGTCCCTCAAGGGCCCCAGAGCGCGGCAATGGCGCATGCTCCAGTCCCGGCCAAGCGACCACAGCGTGAAACCGAGGAACTGGAATCAGATGTCGCTTGGTTGAAACCGTGGACGGTGGATGCATCGAGCCTCTTCTCCTTGTCAGTTAGCTACTTTAGTGGGTGCAGGCTCTGATCGCGACGGTCTCTCTTGTTTCCCCGCACGCAGATGGGGGCATCGCTCAAAGCCGAGGCCATATCCCATCTGGAGCGTGTCTCGCCCGAGGGAGTGCGAGCCATGGCCGAAGCTGGCACGACGGCGGTGATCCTGCCGACAACGGCCTTCCTCTTGAGGCTCGAGTCCCCGCCAGTGAGGGACCTGATCCAAGCCGGGGTCGCGGTCGCCCTTGGCTCTGACTTCAACCCGAACGCGTACTGCACGTCCATGGTGGGTGATGGCGTGGGCGTCATGCTTGCAACCCGAAGGAGAAGAGGCATGGTGAAAGCGTCTGGCGACGTCCAAGTGCCGAGGATTGAAAGTATAGTGATAGGGAGAGGCAGCTAGCCTTTGCGTCACTATTCCTCCAATCCGAGCTCAGCGCCTTTACGCCACCGCACGACCTCAACTCCTCCGATTTCCCCCCGCGATGTTTGAACGTTCTGAGCATGCGCACTCCTCTCTTCGCGTCGCACATGTTTCCACAACTCGGTGACTCCGCATTTTACGTCTGGGTGCACCGGCAGTGTATGATAAGCAATGACGCTTGAATGAGAGCAGCGGGCATATCACTTGTCCAGTCTATATAGTGCATATGAAATCAATGGTGCTCTTTTGGTGCACTTTCGAAGCACACAGGATATACCGAAGCATGCATCACTGAAGGTATACAGAATAAAGATCGCGCTGGGTGGCAGGACAACTCGGAGAGCCCCCACTTTCGTTCGACGACTCCGCGTGAAGAAACGGGCAGAACTTTATGGCTTCAGAGAAGGCGAATCACGTATACGCGCATGGAAATGAACGTTCAGTTCGCTTAGCCGGGAGCGGATGAGGGAATGCCACAATGAATATAATATCAATGCGTGAATTAGAATTGAGATTTCGTTTAAGCCTGGCTCTGAGGTAAAAGTCAATTATGTATTTCGAAGGAATTATAAAAATATAGAACTCAGGGTAGATATTAAATAAACGTGCGTAAATTGCTGACGAATGTATTTTTCGGGGAGCAGTACAAGATAATTTTTCAGAAAAAGTACAATGCACATTTCGAGTAGACTGTTTCCAGTGACCAACGCATGCGACATCGAATAGAGCATATCAAATTTTAGTTAATATCGTCACCAGGGCTATTAATCCATTAGTATGCATTATATCATCTTGACCAAGGGAATACGACGTTCAAAGGTGTCAAGGCCAGTATGCCTGCGATACACCTTCTCTGGTCATTCATGACTAGCGGCGATTAGAAGGATGATGATCATGATGATATATGCAAGGATTTTCATGTATTTACCTGTAACGCATGTCCCTTCGTCCGTATACCTCCAAGCCGATGGTGATGTACCTGGCCTGCATCATCTGCCATATGAGCCTCGAGGAAGCCTTGGCAGCGTCGACCATCAACGGAGCGGCCGCGTTAGGTAGATCCAGGACCCACGGCTCCATCGAGGTTGGCAAGATGGCCGACCTAGTCGTCGTCGAAGCTCCATCGTGAGTTTTGAGATGTCTCCAGACACCTTGTAGGTTCAGGGACCGACCACGCACGACTTTCGAGATAAGCGTAATAAGCGTCTGACAAAAATGTCAGCAATCTTCTAAATTTTATATAGTATGCATGTATGCTCTTTAGGAGCCTTTCAAGCTACAGTCCGTTGCAACCTAAGAACGAAGGGCGAGGGTAAGATGGGCCGGGGAGGAGGAAGCAGACGGAACGCTAAAGAGAGAAGGAGGTTTCCCCCTCTCTTCTCCAGCATTCCCTCTGCTTCCTCCTCCCCGGCCCGTCTTACCCTTGCCCTTCGTTCTTAGGTTGCAACCGACTATTAGAGGCGAGATGTTTTGGTGGCGCCCTCCTATGGTTCCCCCTTGTGACGTCATTACCTTGCGAACAACAATTTCGATGGTGTTTGTAAATAGCATGGTGGAAGCCTGAAATCATTGCGATCTCAAAGCAACACTGCCAACACCGTCGAAATTAAAGTTCTTTCATTCCTCTTATTTCCGTCGATGGTATACCCTTTCCGACGTCATAGTTAGCTTTTGGGCCAATCGTGGAAGGCCGACCACAGCGACGCTTTCGGTCGCGCACGTCGCCAATAGACCATTCCAATTAGCGCTCTCTGGGCGGCACCATTTTGTTCGACAGCAGCGCCCTCTCCATACATCCGGGAAATTAGTGGGTTCGGCGGGGTAAAACGAGAGAGAGGGCACGCGCCCGACTCCGCTAGCAGACGACAAAACGGGAGGTTGCCATTCTCCATCGTTGGGCTGTATCGGCGGGCCGTACGGAACATCGAACTCTCGCTCGTGGCTGCCGTTGTGAAGTGGTTCGCGTTCTTAGAATAGTTATGGCTAATCCAAAATCAGCCTAGAGCTCTCGGTTGTTCTACTTCGGTAAATGATCAACTGAGATATCTTTTTTTCCGTTACTTAAATAGCAGTTGAGTCGGCCGGTAGTACTACCCTCAACTACTGCGTGTATTGCGGCAAGAGCGCACGTTTTTGTTTATTATTTCAGACATCCACTCATGGTCGCTAAAGGCCTACACCAGTACGATCTTTGTATAGTAAAAAAGGTACAGCCACCGGATTCACTTTTCGCCGGAGAGACCGGCCAGTCTTACACAGTTTTCCCTTTTTTTTTCTATTTGCACGCAGATAGTCTTTTTTATCTAGCATTGTAATACACGACAACTGAAATACCAAAATCTGCGCATCTGCGTTTGAAATGTACGCTAGCCGGATGCTAGGTACTGCCCACTCGGTGGAGCAGAGGACGTGCGTGGTACCATAAATTCGTCCAAGTTTGGTCAGAATAGAACGAGCGATTGAAGGAGATTGTAACTGACTCGTCGAGAGCATGGAACGGTGGTTGAAAGGGAACTGATCGTTCCATTGAGATCAGCAATGTTATAGCCTCCTCTATACTCACAAAGCCTAGGCAGTTCGACGACGGAGCCACAGGGCGCCTGGCCGCAGATTTGGAGAGCGAGGATCTGGTGGCACAGAGCATTTCTCGGGGATGCTGGTAGTGAACGCACAGCATTTGCAGCGGCGAAGACGCGCGAGGAATACGAGCGGACATTCCATCGCTCGGGAGAAGCGTGTTTCGGCGTCTCGCCGCAGCGGGGCGCCCGTTACATGACTCTCCTCTCATCCGTTGTCTGCCGCTCTATCTTTCCACTTTCGGCGGCCGCGTCTCATGGCGATCTGCCAGGCTTTGTCAGTATAGAGGAGGCTATGGCAATGCAAGTATGCGGGATGCTCACTGAGCGAATGATTATGTCAGGTTCGAAAAAAGCTCTCCTTTTCCCATTCTGCGTGGATGGCGTGTTCATTTTTTCAATAAAACTGTACTTAGGTCCGACATGCTAAACTTCTAAAGCGGCAAGAAAGGTTCAGAGGTGCACACTTTTGTGGGCTATTCCTTCCTAGGATTTTTGCTAAACGTAAATCGTTATCACATATTTTCGGATATTCGTGAAACAAACAATTTTTGCATATAAACATTTCCCGTCAAATTCCTCTGCAAATATAGGAGGTATATCTTTCTTTAGGTGTAGCCAAGGTGATTTAGCTCTTACTTCGTTTCTTTTTATGGTTTGTATATTCCTGCGCAGCTATAGCTTTACACTGACCTATACACTGATACAGACTAATAGGCTGAAAGCGCATACTTAACGAATTTATTAAACGATCGAATTCTTTCTTTTTCCTCTGCAGGTGGGAGCACCTCATTTACCAGTTCGGGTGCCACGATCGAACCATCAAATGCGTCATCAAGGCTGGAAACGTTGTCCACACAAGAGAATCGTCGTAGGCAGAAGAGAACCTGCACTTCGTTTCATCTTAAACCGGACCACGTGCGGAGTCACCCGAATCATGGCACAAAACCTTGCATTCCACGTGGTTCTAAATAAGGTGAAACGAAGTATGAACGAGCTTAAGGGTCCCGTAGAAATCACTGAATCGTTTGAGTAAACTTCGGAAGCTCTTGGAAGCTCTTAGCGTCTTTCCTTGGGTCCACGGGTGCGCACCAAGTGGCGATCGCATCCTTCATTGAGCTCCCCGCCAATGGGCGGGGAGCTAAAAAAAAAGGCTTTTATGGAACTGAAAAAAAAAACAAAAAAAAACTGCTTAGCTTCTATTAAAGGTGTCAATAGCGTTCCTTCACAGCTGCGCGCTTGCATTAGTAGAGCGTTTTAGTAGATCGTTCCGATACCTCCGATAGCCCCAATAGAGAGTTTTAGTAGATCGTTCCGATACCTCCGATAGCCCCGATAACGATACTATGCATGCGCAAGGGAGGCGGTGGCGGAGTATCGGGATATCGTTATCGGAGTCATGGGAACGATCTACTAAAACTCTCTACTAACGATACAATGCATGCGCAAGGGAGGCGGTGGCGGAGTATCGGGTATCGTTATCGGAGTCATGGGAACGATCTACTAAAACTCTCTATTGAATCTTGTACGAAACTTGTCAGCAATTGTGTTCTGCTCTGCTCAACACGAATCTGTCTGTTTGACAGGTCGAAAATTTCAAGTGACTTATGAAAATTGCAGTAACTATACAAGTTCGTTAGTTTTGAAAGTTGAAACTAATAAGATTAAAGCCCCTCTATCCTGGGAAGAGTGACGCCATTCATTGTTGTGGAAATGCTAGAGACACGTGCCGCGCACCACTTCTGGGAAGAACATGGCATCTGAAATCTAGCTCAGTGCGGCGCTGTGCCGCCATGATCTTCCCAAGGGCTACACGTTACACGTGTCTCGTGCTTCGACGGACCTTCCGCTACTTTTAAAGGGACACTGACAGGGTATTTATGCTCGCCGAGGTTTTTAGTTGTACGTGACATATGAGAGCTCAACTACCCAGAACAGAATTTGCGGCTCGAAATTCGGTTTCTTTCCGCCCGAAAACCGCCGATCAAGAACTGGCCGGTTCGAGTCTCGCTCACCCTCTTTTCCGCGGTCACGGGCCGTTTTCTAAGGTATCGATGCGACCACCAAATTTAATCAAAGTCGTGGGTCACTGAAGGGACACACTCAATATTAAAAATAGAAAAAAATATGAAACCCATTTTTTGTGGCTTCTAAAAACCTGCAAATACGTTGATTGAAAAAAAAGTTCCACAGACAACCGGAAACATTCTGTGCGTGCGTCGTTTCGCGTATCGTGGGACTCGCGGGGACGGCGATGGCAGCGGACGACGGGCGTGGGACCTCTATTTCAGAACTGTCGTTAGCGGTACCGGCGAATTTTGTCCGCCCTTAAAAGAGAAATTTGGGACTGTTCAAAAGAATTGGTATTCATGCCGTACGACACGCCTGACCACCAAGCCGATTTGCACGAAGACGTCTCCGAGCCATCACTCCCTTCTTGTGGCTGAAGACATCGCTCTCGCAAACGTCAAGCGCGACGTGTCTACTTCGAGTTGAATATGCACGCGTACGATTTCTTTACTGGGTGAGAATGTCGCCAATGCGTGGTGCATCCCGACTTCGACCCTGGAGTGCTTTTGCTAGAGAAAAATCGGCAGCAAACTTTCCAACTTACAGTTTATCGGCTGAATTGTTACTAAGGAAAGAGATCCCCCAGTATCGACATGCCCCAGTAGCTCAGGGGAGGAAGAAGAAGTGATTGTGAGTAGAAGCCCTTTTCTTCCTGTCTGCGATTTATTTCAATAACAGGGGCCCGGGGCTCTCCCGGGTTACCCTGTTCGCCTAAACGGCACTGTAAGGTGGCCAAGTCACCTACAAGTGGAAAGATGAGCTCCATCGGGAGCAGTACGACGGCATTAGATGGCCGGGTTTACAAGACGACATCGGAATCTTCCGACTACAAGGTTATACTTCCAAGACTACCACAAGGTATGCTCGTCACCAACTCACTATTCTTACATGCTGACATCACCGGAAGGCCGTACAAGGCAAGCGACTTTAAAGACGCAATATTTTCCATCGTTGATCGGAAGGACGTCCTGGGCTTAGGCCAGTATCAAATGAGCCACGTATGGATGGTGACCTTCGGAAATGCTGCAGCAAAGCTCAAGATCAAAGCTTACGAAGAGTTCATTATCAAAGGAAAAAAGTGCATAATAATCGATCCATGCAAAGAAGAGATCAAGATGAAGCTCTTATGGCTGCCCATTCCTATGCCAGACTCCGAAGTGAGGAAGGTTCTAGAGCCGTTCGGGACAGTCAAGGACATGAGGAGAGAAACGTGGAGATTTTCAGGACTCGAGGATCTCCAAACAACAACCCGAGAAGTGACCCTCGTCCTGAAGCAGGACCTCACGGTGGACAAGATTCCACACCTCTTGAACGTGTACGGGTCCAATACGCTCGTCGTCATCCCTGGAAGACCACCGCTCTGCCTGAGGTGCAAAGGAATCGGGCACATCCGCCGGCAATGTTGCACTCCTCGCTGCACGCAGTGCTGGAGATTTGGTCACACAAATGACGAATGCGTAGTGACGTACGCCTCAAAGCTCCAGGGAAACGCAACACCGGACGCTGATCATAGCGAACATATCATGGACGTGGAGGAAATGTTCAATGAGGAAGTCGGACGGACGCAAACGGGCGATGACCCAGCAATCCAGAACAACGACCCTCCTTGCAGCCTCAACGAAAGCCCAACGGAGGAACAAAGGTGCAACGAAAGCACCTCCCCAACACCGCAAGAAGAACCTAGAGAAGCTACTGCAAGCAAAGGGAAAGGGCTGCGAAAGCAATCCCTGCAAAACACGAAGGTGGCAGAGACCAAGAAGGAAGAACACCATTGCAAAAGAGCCAAGGTTGACACCAGCGAGAATTTGACGGGAGAACCGGAAGCAATGAATGTCCTGCTGGACTCCACCGAGCCGCAAATACGGCTGGAACCCAAAGAACAGCGGGTGAAACCCAAATTCAAAGACCGAAAAACAACCTCCCCGGCAGCTTCCGAACTTGACCCAAAGCATGTATAGGAATCCCCTCACGACCACCCAGATAAGTCCCTTCACAATTTCCACCATAAATGTGCGAGGGATAAATTCGAGGAAAAAACAATACCAACTTTTTCGTTTTGTACAAAAATATGACAGCGACATTGTGACCCTGCAGGAAACAAAAGTATCCGAACAAAACACCTTATTTTCGGGATGCAGTTTGTGGAAAGATTTCTACGATCTGTTTCACTGCCCTGCTGTTGACTACTCTGCAGGGTGTGCAATTCTGTTTAAGAAAGAACTAAAGTACAAAATGTGTAGTATTCTCGAAGGGGCTGACAGTGGTCGTCTAATGGTAGCTAACATTATTTTGCAAGACCAGCCCTGGCGCATAATTGTTGTGTATGCATACAATAACGCAGCGCAAAGGGAAAGCCTTTTCTGTCAGGCTCGAATTCACGCCAACACAAGATTTAACGTGATTCTGCTTGGGGACTTCAATTGTGTAATAAATAAGAAAGATAGAGTTCCATCCCTAACCATCGTAGATCCAAGCGCTGAAGCCTTAAAAGCATTGGTTCAAGACTGCGACCTGATAGATTCAGCAACAGATCACGCACTCTGTTTTACACACTTTCAAGGGTCTTCCCATGCACGTTTAGATAGAATATATGTATCTGGGTCAGTTAATACTGCACTAAGTAACTACAACGTGATCCCTGCATTCTTCTCTGATCACTGCATGGTGCAAGTGCGTGTAGGTGTAAAAACACCCCAGAGAAATAGAAAACAACCGTCTTGGTCCCTTTGGAAACTGAACGAAAGGCTCCTTGAAAATGACGACTTTATAAAAGGTGTAGAATCAGCACTAGAGATACTTGAATGCACCAAAGAAGGCTGGTGTCAAAAATGGGAATCTTTTAAATTGGAGATAAGAAAAATAGCAATAGAAATATCATCAATTGTTGCGTATCATGAAAAAATAAGAGAAAGGCGTCTGAACAATGACATCCTTTACCTGTACCGTTTGGAGTGCCAAGATCCTGGAAAATACAAGGATGAAGTAAAGAATATAAGAACACAAATTAAAGAACACGATAAAATACGCTATGAAGGTGCTGGTGTAAGAACGCGTGTTTTGCAATTAATAGAAGGAGAACAACCAACAAAAAGATTCCTTAACGTGGAGAGAGAATATATCAAGAAGAAACGGATAATGACATTAAACGAAAATGGTCGCGCACTGAACGATGAAAGGGAAATAGAAGATGCCTTTGTTTCGCACTACGAGAATTTATTTGCTGCAAGACCACATTCTGTACCAACCCAAATGAAGGACTCCCTCTTATTAGAGCTACCAAAACTTGAACCAGATATGACTAAGATTCTAAATACTCCTATTGACGTGGCTGAAGTCGAACTGAATATAAGAGAAATGAAGTCTCGAAAGGCCCCAGGACCAGACGGTTTACCGACCAGTTTTTACAAAAAATGGAGCAAGAAACTATCACCCATACTCTTAAACGTTTTTGAGGAATCATACCGACACGAATGCTTACCTCCATCGTTTCGGAAGGCACACACAGTACTGATACCGAAGTCTAGAGATCTAGACAAGACTCAACGAGTAGACGGTTATCGACCAATAAGCTTACTAAACAACGACTATAAAATTTTTGCAAGGGTACTCGCCGGACGCTTACAAAGCGTGATAACGTTTTTGGTTGGAGACCATCAGACGTGTTCCATCAAAGGGCGGAATATACAAACAAACCTCCACATCGTCCGGTCCATAATAGAGATATGCCAACGAACACAAGAATCAGTGGCTATTCTACAACTTGATCTGGCTAAGGCCTTCGATCAAGTTCAATACTCGTTTCTTTTCGATGTACTCGCACATATGCAAGTAGGAGAAAACGTCATACGTGGAATCAAACTTTGTTATACTGGAATCTCAACGAAATTGATTGTTAACGGAGCTCTTACAAAATCCATACAAGTACAACGCTCGGTTAGACAAGGATGTCCTATGTCACCACTTCTTTTTGACCTCTATCTCGAGCCCCTCTGCAAATACATCATAAACGATAGCAAGGTTCAAGGTTTTCGCCTTCACAGCTGCGACATCAAGCTTCTTGCCTACGCTGACGACCTTGTGCTGGTATGTTCCAACAAGCCCAGCATAAAAAACGCGATGCTATGCGTTTCTAACTACTGTGCCGTGTCTGGTGCGTCAGTAAACATGGAGAAAAGCTGTGGCTCGTGGTGCGGGGAATGGAGATCGACACCATCTACATTTGAGGACATACAATGGTCTACAACGAAGCCAAAGCTCTTGGGAGTTCCTTTAAGCGCAATGGACAATCCCAAGCCTATGTGGGACACAGTAACAAAAAATGTTAAAACAGCTGCCAATATGTGGAGTTTAAGATATCTATCTACTTTTGGAAGAGTTGCTGTATGCAACATTTTCCTCTTGTCAAAACTTATGTATCTTCTGCAGGTTATACATTGCTCAAGGACGACGGTCAATCTTTTGAACAGAATATTGGCTACGTTTATTTGGAGGTCACCATACGAGCCAATGAGGAGGTCAAACTTGTTTCGAGGAATTCACGACGGAGGACTTGGTTTAGGTCATATTTTTGTTAGGCAGCTAACTGCCAGATGGAAATTTTTTGCACAGGAACAGCATCCTTTTTTAGAATTGTGCAAGCATTTCTTCTTAGCAAAATATATGGCAACACCAGGTGATGATTCAACAACCACATGTGCTTTAATATCATTAAGAGGATTTTATAAGGAAGTAGCGGACACATTGGAATTTCTAAGAACAAGGTTTGACCAAGCCTTTTTACTCGTGCACTAAAAAGAAGCTAACCAAACATCTGCTAGTTTCATTGTTCCCAGATCCTGTATTTCGTGTTTTTCCTTATGGGCCTCCACTAAATTGCAAACCGGATGTTTTAAAAAGGGTTAAACTAATGCCGATACCACCGAAGTGTAAAACTTTCTTTTATCGATTTCACTCTCGTACCACAACTGTAAAGGAGTGGCTCGACCTACGCGGGATGGAAACATACGGTAGCACTAATTGTAGACTTTGCAAAGTTACCGAAACGTTCACCCATGCCTTTATTCTTTGTGTCGACGCTGTATTCTTTTGGGATGTTTTCAAACGGACGCTGAAAAAAGACTTTGAAGTGGAAGAGACGAATCTTCGCTACTTGCATTTCGCCGAACACCTCGATACCATTCAAGACATTTTAGTAGTTCTAGGTCTTTACAGTTTGTGGAAAACGCGTAAAGTGGATAATGAAGCAGGTGTCGCAAAGCCATCCTGGGTAAATTTTAAAAATATTGCCATTCAAGTAGGTCAGGGTATATTGGCACGCTGTGATGAAAATGATGAATGGAAAGACGTCGTAAAAAATCTTAGTCGTTCTCCTGATATTATATAATCGACGACAGCACCAGTCGACCTAGAAAGTGTCATTGACACCTTCCTTTTTGAGATGAGCATTGTGGTTTTGTAAATTTCTATTGTATTATGTGACGAGAATGAAACGCACTGCTTGTATGTAACGAAAAAGTAACGCATTGCATGTATATATTGTAACGCATCGCTTGTATATAATCAAACGGAAATGTAGAGCTCTACCTGTATATAGCGTAACGCAAGAATGTAAATTATAGTTTTAAACATGCTGTAAATAAACGTCTGAAAAAAAAAAAAAAAAAAAAAAAAAAAAAAAAAAGCCCCAGTAGCTCAGTGGGTAAAACGTCCGCTTCACACGCGGTAGGACCGGGTTCGATCCCCCGTGAATCTTTTTTTTTATAATATTTTCTGATGTTTACATTTTTTTTTTTTACAATTATTACTGAAGGAACAAAAAAAAAAAAAAAAAACAAATGTAGTGGACGACACGTCGCTGAATTAAATGGTATGGGATTTCCTTTTTGACACCTGCGAACTCAATGTAATCACTTTCCACAAAATGCAAGGAGCATATAAATCAGCTAGCGTCCGCTTTCCGAGGTGCCCGTAAATGGTCTACAGGAAATGCAGCCAGCCATTGGTCCCGATCCCGTTGATCTTTCGGAAACTCTGTCGCACAATGCCACTTCTGTTTCGGACGCAGGACATGTGAGCCAGCTCTTCACGCAACATCTTGGGTGTATTCTTTTCGGAGCCGATCAAAATTCACCACGGGCACTCATTACTCATCTCCAACTCCTCAATGTACAAAACAACTCATCTTGGAGTACAGACCAACGAGCGGAACATACATAACTGCAAAAGAATCCCATGGCGAACAGTTCCCGTACGCCGCATGTCGTCTGCTACAAAAAAAAAGACAAAAAAAAAAAAAAAAAAAAACGCGGTCGGGTGTAGCCACGTGACTTCCGCCACTCCGCTCTCTTCTCTCCACTTCTCCGACCTCCGTCGGGTTTCGGTTTCGGTTTCGAGCAGTTGCGTCTTTTGGCTTTATTAAAAAAATACGCTACTCTGTTGCAAAATATTAATTGGGTAGTCCTCCGACACCATAATGAAGCGCCTGGCAAAAAATGAAAAATATTTTTTGGGGGGTGTCAGTGTCCCTTTAAAACATGAAGGGGCTTCAAATAAAATGTCCCCCTATACACTGCCCTCTTTTATCATTCTTTCCTGACACATCTTCAGCTGCTCCACTGTCAGCACGACCTTGCACGAGAGCGTGCCATAAGCAGTGACCGCGTTCATCTCGGGAGATCCTTCCTGCGACAAACCAACGGTTCAATGATCGACGCCCGATCCAACCGACGGAAGGACGCAACGACGTGAGAAGTTCAGGAGCAATGAGAGCACATGGCTGACAAGGTTGTACAGAGCGCGACAATGTTAGCGCGAACAAGCGATCGCCGGTTTTTCCAGTTTTACTCTTTAAAACCAAGGGATGTCATCCAAGTTATTATTGCAACGGAAAGAGCTCATTTAGTTTTATAATGTAAGCGATAAAATTTCGTGCTCGCTAATATTATTTAGAAGTAAAATGCGAAAATGCGCCGATGTCGTGTTCGCGCTAACAGTGTCGCGATGAGTACGCCGCACTGTAAATGGCGCAGGTGACGTCGACGGTGTCAACCCTGGGCAGCGTTTGCATCCTCCATTGAGAAGCGCATCGGCGAAGTGGGCAGGCAAACCGTGAAGTATTTCGGCTGCACTTCGAGACAGCTAGCTCGGTGGCGGTGGTGCCCAACTAAAACGCTATCTGTAGTTACCTTGCAAGGTGTAGTTAAGTACCCGCTAAATAGGCTGTGCCATAAAGTATCGGCCCTTCAGCCATCATGGCGCTTAACATCATTGTTGCCAGATATTTTTGTTACGAAAGCGCAATGCATCGTGGGAGTTTTACCCTTTCTGCACGCCCGATCCTCGCAGCGGGTTGGAGCGAGCAAAACACGAGCTGTCTCGCTCGCTGCCTCATGCTAACCAACACTATACATTACCTCAGTTGTGGAAGTCCCGCGACTTGAAGTCGCACATAAGGATGGCACTTCTCGCCCTATAGCACCCACTATAAATGCTTCTCAATATTTCACGGCACTGCAAGACCGTAGGCGGTGTGCAAGTTCGTGTTTCGTTTGCAGGGGTTGTGGTGCCGTCAGAACGCCGAGCTTTGATTGAAGAATAGTGGGTAGACCTCAAAGCAAGCTGCATTGAGCACCCACTGTCCTTCAATCAGAGCCAATCTGAGCTCGATGTTCTGACGTCACCACAACCCCTGGAAAAGAAGCAGACGAGCTTGCTCAGCCTCAATTTTCCAAATACATTAAGCAAAAAAAAAAAAACATTTTAATTAAATATTTTTGTTAATTAGCTAACTCATTTCTAGTGGCCACCATGGCCGCCAAATTGTCCCAAAGACAAGGTGTCCCCAGGGCTAAAAGAACCCCAATGCAAGTTCCCCTTTCAAGCTGCTTAACCCGCTAAAGAAGCGCAGGGTGTCTCTTTCGGATGCCGAGGATCCAACATGCGCTCATTGCCTTCCGTCATGCTTTGGCTGCGCGTGCACGATGGAAGCTCGCGCTATGCCGAAGCGTTATCCAAAGAGGAAGTTCGCGCTGGAGACAAGACAACTGAAAGGAGAGAGTGGGTCATAAGCGGCCGGCGACTTCAGAGATACGTTGGGGTTACCTGATCACCGGATGCAAATTATGAGCATTAAAAAGAATAACAATTACAGTTACTAGAGCTCTAAAATAATAAAACTCGGTGTGCATATTATGTAATGCAGATTTCGCATCAAAAATTATCTACCTTGTTGATTTTTCGTGTCATGACTCGTGACACCTTTAATGCACAGTAAGCGGAAAATAACCTAGGTGTTAAAAATGAAGCATAAGAAACAGAGCAAGTGTGGGAACATGCAAGCAAAGATAGCCGTGGCCAAGAATGTGAGATTAAAAAAAAAAAAAAAGAATTGTACCTTGTCTTTCTGTACAGTGATGGACTCATCGAAGGCATGCATAGTGTGTACATGTCTAGGTTGATTTCAGTGAATCGAGCAGGGCATGCCATCATTGACAGTTGGAACTGGCTCCCTAGATTTTTATTCGTTTGTACATCTTTTAGGTGGAGCTTAACACCCTCGAAATACGCAATTGCACTTGTTGCATCTCAAAGTAGGGGGATACACATTTCAGCTGCTTTTTGGAGGGCTTCGTCAAGAGCTTTACAAAAATGCCGTACCAAATCATTTTACAAAAAAAAAAAAAAAGAAATATAGTAAGTTTTTGTTTTAGTGTTAATACATACATTGCCAATTTTAACCAAATAATGCAAGTGCAATAAACGGGCTATGACAGAACCTGTAAGAACAACTGCAGTGTATTGAAGGAAACAAACATTCCTTCATCAAGTTCTTTTACAGTGCAGAGAGGCTTCAAGGAAGAACCTTCGTCCCCATAAGCCCTAATTTTGTAAGTAATAGTTTTCGACCCGTCTGTGGGATGATTAATTCCAAATACCAATGACTTATTGAAGGGCCAATCAACCTCTCGATCACTGCCATCAGGATAGATTCTGACGTCACAAATGACATCAATGTCCCCACTATTCTTTTTATAAAGGTCAAGAACAAGGACCATATTGTGACCAAAGACTTTACATGAGGTGCTCTCGTAGGATCCACTGCCATACTGCGATCCACCTACCGCTTTCCTGGATGCCCAATCCCCGAAATCCCAGCGACATGTCATTTCCGTAGAAATGCATATCTGTTTCTGGGACATCCCTCCTCTGGCTGGCATCAGCTGGTTGCTCTGCTCACGCAGCTCCTTCGTCATGATGTTTCTGTTGGTGCTGACAGTGGTTTCCACGTCCGCCACAACCCTTTGGAGTGCTCTCTGTTCTTCGCTGAAGCCGGCTGTGCAGAGCGCTGTCAAATCCCCAAACCTGTTAGCCTGATCTTCCAGCAGCTGTTTGCAGCTTGCATAAGTGGATGCGATCAGCTGGTCGCTCTGTGCATGCAGTTCCTTAACAATAAGGTCTCGGTTGCTGGTGCCAGCTGTGACCAAAGCAGCGACCACATTAGCATCAACAATCTGAAGTGCCTGCTGTTTTTCGGTAAAGCCAGCTGTGATGAGTGCATTGAGGTCATTAAGCTTGGAAAACTGGTCTTCCAGCAGGTCTTTGCAGCTTGCACCTGTTGCTCGGATGTCTTCAGAGCACTGGTTTAGGCTGCTCTGCAGGAACGTCAGGTCTTCAGAAATCTTCCCCAGGGATTCTTCAATTTCATTGCGTGCCTGTTCAATGCTGCCGTGATCAGGGTTGAGGGAGATGTTGGCAACTGTATCCATGGTTGGAGCTATGCTGCAGCCTTCTTTGCAGTGCCTCACAATGTTGCTCCGCACCACAGAGCAGCTACACTGAGGGCAAGACACAGTGTGGAAGGTGCACTGCTTGAAGTGATCCAGGAGACTTGACACGGGGCCAATGAAGTTGCAGCCACTAGGCAAATTCCAGCAGGCCACCTTAAGAAAGAAAAAAGTTTGTGCTATGTGTGTAGCAGTTTGGTGAAGTAACCATTTGATGTCACTGAAACCTGTGTAGCATACGCAAACAAGCGTGCACAGGTTTCATAGCGATACAAAATGAAAGCAGGTGATATTTCCAAGCGAAATCTCTGCACACAGCAAGTCGATCTACACTAACTGTGCTCATGTTTTCCATTTCGCTGCACTTTATAGAGCTGTGTACTTTGTCTATTCGAATTAAGCTTTAGTTTCTCTCAGTTACTGGGAGCTACATACTACACTCCGTTTCACCTTACATCCGGACGCAGCGGATGCTACGAACTATCCTAGACAATCCCACTCTGTCGACGTAGCCCGTGACACAGCGTGCTGCGCCCCCTCTTCAAGGTCACGTGACACTCACACAGCCTTGGATTAGCTTCGATGGCTTGTAGCATCCGCTGTGCTCGGACGTAAGGTGAAATGGAGTACAGGCACAACTAGCCATTGTATATGGCATATTTAACTGCCAGGTAATAGTACACTAATAGCACAGTGGGCAGGAAACAAACACATATGTATCAACATAAAGATGGCTTGTGCTGTAAGACAATCCAGGAGTCTTCTGTTTGTTCTACATACCAACAATACTCTGACGAGAGCTTTTCTTTTTGGTGTACGAAGTTTGCAATGAGTTAGTTTACGACTCTTTTCCGCCCAAGCTAATGACTCATGCCTATATTCAGATTACATCAACATGTCCCAAGCTTCAATCTACATGCTTCAACGAATGAAGTGGTAAAATTTATAAATAGCTGCCAGTTATCTGGTTGCTATGGCGACTTTTCATGACCGAAATGAAGATTACCATTGCTGCTTCTGGTGTCGCTCTGCTAAACCATTTGCCTAGACTTGCGAGTCTGACAGTTACAGCTAGCATAGAGTGGCTCTAGATAAAACTACAGTTGGCAGCAACTCAAGAATTCAGCAATGCATGCCCTTCAAAAGAGTTCATATTACTCTGAAAGCCAAAACCTTTCATTCCCTCTCTTGACCTCAAGACCCTAAGAACAAACTTAACCCAATATGACAGTGCACCTAGCATCAAGACTGTTTATCACATTGACTTCATGAAGCATTATTTCTGCTCTCTACCAACGTAAGTTTACTTTACATGACGAAGTCATGCTGGTATCGGCTTTTGTTTGTTAGCCCTTTCCTCGTTACATCACAAAATTATGACAGTCTCAACGTTTGTTTGCAGTGGCGTCTGAGAGGCGTCCTGAAAAGGTTGCAGTCATCACTATCGAAGTTTGTGCTGCATAAAATGTGCACATTTGCTTTTTTTCAGCTGACTATGGTGTTTATAAATGAAGGCTGTACAGTGAACTGATGCCTTCAAAGCAGCATTGTTCATCCATAAAACCTGGCACCCCTGTAATTAGTAGCACGGTAAGCTACGATTGAAAGTGACACTATGCTAAAACAGCCTCGTTCAACGAGACATAAATGTGCTGTGAGAAAACGTCCTAGCTGTGTCTGTGAGTACAACCCTGTGGGCAAAGCTTCTCCAGAGTTCTTGACTCGTCAGTGACTATACACCTTTCCAAAAAAACGCTCCTAGGCTGCCGCCATGTTGCTGACGCTGATGCGGCTGGTGCGACCCTGGCTCCCTCTATCAGCTAGGAATTTTCTGCCACTCTCTTGGACTGTGAAAACTCGCTCAGCGCGATTCTCTACCCCTGTTTTGCTGTTTTGCATTCAACGTTTGCTGGACCCTCTTGAAAGCTTCCACTTAATTTTTTTATGCGTGCTGCGTACCCTTTCTGTGTTATCTTCCGCTGTGAGAAATAGGGCTGATAAGTGCCTGCCATTCAAGCTTTTCTGCTCAACATTCACGGGAAACGAAGGAGAGGAAAGATGTTGAACGGCCTTCGACGCAATTTTGCGAACAATTACAATTGTTCTCCCCCCTCCAGGAGATAATCCGAGCAGAGTCCTCTCCAAAAATAGTTGTCCGCGTTGGGGTGGGAAACTGGTCAGTCCTGTTTATTCCTTTGCCTTGGTGCTGTTGTGAAAAGAGGAAACTCTCCCAAAAAAGTGCCCCAAAACGAAGTCAGCTTGGATTCCGTCCGATCGTCAAGGTGTGACTGTCGTCAACTGTGACTGTGTTATTTGAGATGTTTCTCAGATAAATTCTTTTTAGATAATGCTGCATGGTGTGGTACATACAATATATTGTTTGAATATTAAAATTTTCTAAATTGTATGTTCGTGTCTTGTCCATTGGTAAACATGTAATTTGTGAGTGTGAAAAATGCATGCCTTTCGGCTATCTTTTGTTGTAATTTATTTTCAACAGCTAAGCGCTTTGTCATTTGACACGTGGCTAATCGGGCGGTGTCGTCAAAACTTATTGTAGAAAAAAACAAAACACGACAACTAACATTCCGGTCGCATTCGTTCTGTAGCGCACGTACCCAATAAAAATAGTTTACATAATTTTTTTGCTTTTTTGTTAATTCAAATGTGGTACAATGCTTTCCCAATGAAAATACATGCACCACGAAACACAAAATATAGCGGGAAAAGGCGAAAATTTAGCTGCCAGCAGCGTTTGAAACTGCGCCTACGCAGGCTGCGCCCTATTGAAATCACAGTTACTCAGATAGGGTTAGCAGGGACGCCGGTGAGAGTCTAGCCTCAAACTCAGTGACTGGGCTCGAAAACGGTTTGTTGCTTCTGGGGTCGAGTGTTTCTTGGAAAGGTGTATAGTCGACACAAAACTAAAAATGGTCGGAAGTATTTCTCGCACATTTTTATGAGAGGAATTTGGGGCATTTTATGTACCTTTATACTCTGAAAAATACAACCCAATATCCAGCGCTGTTTGCCTACCTAAAGTCATCGCCGGTTAACCAAGGTGGTTTACCACGCAGCCGTCAAAGCCGTGGAATTGTCACAGCCACCGCAAGTTATCGCAAGGAAAGTGCAAATAATGGTTCGTAAAAACATCCCCGGAAGGCAGTGGTTGACTGGCTGAAGTATGCCTGCACAGAATGCAATGAAGAGACGATAAAAATTCACTTCGACTTCATTCGTTAGAGATTTCATGAGGCTTATGAATTTTTATTGTCACTTCATTCCACGCTGCACAGCCATATGCTTCAGTTAATTAACCACTGCCTTTGGAGAGATTGTATATGCGCACCCCCAGATCAATAGGTGGAACAAAGTCAACAACTCACCCTGCGCTTCATGATGTAGCCGGCGGAGCACTCCAGTCGATCCAGGTCGTCCTCGCAGAATGGCTCCTGATCGAGGGGACAGGTGCCTCCTCGCTCAACGCACTCCGCATAGCAGTCGGAGCAGACGGTATGTGCACACCACAGTCTGACCGCTTTCCTGCACAGCACACCACACAGGGCGCAAGCTCTCTCCGCAATGACTGGCTCCACGAAGAGCAGTGGCCTCCAGTCCAAGGCATCGGAGAAACCGACTGTACGTCGGGAAAGAGTTCCTACGGGGCCGTGGTCGCCCGTCGCCATCTTGCTATGGCAGAAACCTGCAGAATTTAAGATCACCGGTGTAAAGATGACACACCAAAGCCAGCCTAAAGGACATCTTCTATACATTTTCCGGCTCCTAACGAGTCAAGCACCAATTTTTTTTTTAAATTCTGGTTGAAACATTGATTTCGTTATGAGCGAACAGTGACTGCAGCTCACTTAGTAAATTTTCTGAGAGGACTAAAGAGCTCTAAAGTTATGAATGACATTTTAGTGGATATGCCCGTGCCACGATTCGGGTGTGCAAATATTACTTCAAATCGAATAACGCAATGCCGTCGTTTGATTCAATACTGCAGAGATAGCCTGTATGTCGTGGCTTTTCCTCGCATTGTAAAGGCGAAAAATGACTGCGTGCTATTCAACCCGAGCCAGTTTGTACACCCCTAGTTTCATGCCTTGAATTTCGACCGTCTTACAATAAAATATGATTGAATAATGGTGACGTTTTGCCAATGTTTGTAGAGTTGTGTATTTTATAAAACAATGACGAGCATTTCAATCTGGTGGTAGCGAAAACACAGTTTGCGTCAATTTCGCTGCAGTCACTAATATCAAGCGCGAAGTAGGCTAAACGAACAAAATTAGAATGCCGCAACACATCTGAAACCGAGGCAAAAACAAGGCGGAGCATCTGACGCTGGGATTTTGACGTAGGGTGCTTTCGTGCACTACCCCGACGAGCACATACCTTCCATCACCCTGCCAGCTTAGCAGTGAACATAGTACAGTTCTCATGGCAATGCCTACGTATTGTTTGCTTTCAAGTAGCACTACTACGCTATAAAATTGACACGGCAGAGGGACCACTTGCTACCATAACAATGCCGTTTTTTTTTTTTTTTTTTTTTTTTTTTTTTTAACGACGAACACGCTCGTGCCGGACTGTGGATCTGTAAACGCTGGAATGCTTCGCGAGACATGGCCAACGTTGGACATAACGGGAAGCAGGGGCCTGTCAAGCTACGTAATGTAGCTTTTTTCCCTGTCTCCTTCTCCAAACCAGAGTCAATCACGAATTGAATTGAATTATATTGCAAGCAGACATACCAGCGACGTATTTCCTTCGATGTTCGTCCAAATCAGAGAAAAGCAACGGCCCCGCTCAAGCTTCATGTGTTCTCAGCTTGGATTGGATAGCTGGATAGCATAAAGAAGCCAAGTGTCTCGTCGATACCATAATTTTACGGAATAAACGTAAAAAAAAATCATGGTAATAAATTAAACGTTTCGAAGCGTAACTACTACGATTTATTCTTTATGTACCCTTCGCCTCTCAAAATTCAGGAATATCAGGCTATTTAACGAAATCCAATCAAAACTCGCATGACTTAGCCAATCTGTAAGCCGTCGCGCATTTTTCAAGTTTCAGCCCCCACTTTCAGTTTTCAGCCTTCTTTCAGCGTCGTGGTTTCAGTGGTTTCAGTCAGCACCGGCAGCAGCTGCTCCCAGCTGCTCCCACTGCAGCACTGCGTGCGTCGCTCACAAAGGTGGGGACTTTCTGACTCAACACATCTGCTCCAAGGTGCTAGCATAGTTCACTGTACTTCCGTACCTCTGCTCAGTGTTTGTCGGCGCTAAGTGAAGGGAAGTTGAGCAGGCGAGAAGCCGCTCAAGACGCAGGTCGCGGAGTTTTTCATTTCATTACCTTTGATTTCCTTTATTTGGCTCAAGAAAGTGATGAGGACGACATGCTCTTTTTGAACGTTGCGAAAATCGCCGCGCGAGTTTTGGAGGTTCGATGGCGGGTCAGACGGGTAGACCAGCGAGGCGGGCTGTTCGATGAACGTTCTGGGTAAAGCCCTGGCGGTTGATGGTGCGGTCGCTCACTTCGGAGAAGGCAGCGGCTGCAGGATGTTGCCCAGTCGAAGTAGACTGCTGCCACCTCTGATGCATTTGACGTCCAGGGCTAGAACGTAGCACCGCGGTCACCAGCCTCCTCTCATCGTCGTCATCAAAGGATGACGACGATTGCAGGAATGGCATTGCGTTTCTTTGTCTCAGATTTCTCATCTGTAGATGAGGAATTCAGCCAGTGCAGTCTATGCAGCGTGGGGTTTTTAACATGCATCACGCCGTAGAGAGAGTGAGAGAATAAAAATACTTAATTGCACCAACCCCGGCCCTCTGTTACCGCTCCTCTCCGTGCATGTCCTTGACGTGTCAGGACCAGAGGTCGGCATTTTAGGTCGCCCTCACTCACCCTCACCCTCACAGCCACCCTCACCTAAGCCCCTCACAGCTACACTCACCTTCAGCCCCTCCCTCATCCTCACAGTCACTCTCACCTTCAGCCCTTCACTCACCCTCACGGCCCTCCAACACTCATACCCCTCACGCGCGCCTCACGCCCCTCACGCATTCATGGCCCTCACGCCACTCAGGCCCGCTTCAGATGGGGCAATTTTACCCAGATACTTGACGTCGCAACACCAGCAACACGGGCCGCCTGCGTTCATACGCAGCAACCAATTGCTGCAATTTGCCATCATCATCATGAAATTGTATCTTTTTTTGCACTATTTAGACACACAATTACGAGCTATAAACGTGTTTTTGTGCATTTAAATCTCGTTGAGAATACTAATGCATATTTCTGAAATAGTTTATTTCCAAAAACTATCAATTTCAAACCAGAACCAAGTGTTTTGTTTTCATCATCACTGGCACGAGGTATCACGTGAAAGTCTCTGATTGGCTGCAGCCGCTTCAAACGTCTTCGAATTGCTCCGAGTTAATCGCGTGTTTTGAGCCGTACTCGATCTCAGCAATTAGTGTCGATCTAGGAAAAGCTAGGGAACAACCCGCCAGCAACACCAAAATTGCTGAGAAAGTTGCTCCGTCTGAAGGGGGCCTCATGCACTCACGCCCCTCACGCACTCATGGCCCTCACACCCCTCACCCACTCACAGCCCTCACCCACTCACAGCCCTCACGCACTCATCGCCCTCACGGCGCTTATACACCTCGCGCACTTGTAGCCCTCACGGCACTTACCGCCCTCACGCCCCTCACGCACTCATGGCCCTCACACCCTCATGCCCCTCACATACTCACGGCCCTCACTCACCCTCACACTCATGAATTTTCCTGGTTCAGAAACTCACTCACCCTCACCTCACCTGTGAAGATAATGGTGAGTGAGGGCCCTCATGAGTGAGGTTTGCCGAGCTATGGTCAGGACTCGGGTGAGGACTCGAGTGGCCATAAGGTTGCAACCACTGTGGTTGCAACTTGGTTGGAGAGCCCTGGGAGGAGGGGAGGGGAAGGGGACCATAAATCATTTGCTCAATCGATTCTAGGTTTCTAGGTGAAACGTAGCAACTCTCAGTGGGTTATTTTTGCCATGTGACAAACTCCTACGTTCTACTTTTGAGCCTTTAGGGAGCGGATACTGTGAAGAGAGAAGGCTATATAGTGGGGAATACCCATAGTGCATGAGTTTCTGGGGTAGCCTGAGCTGTGTGGGCTTTCGGGGGTACCCGTGCGGCCTTGAATATAATATTAGAAGTGCGGGAAGTAGAGCGAGAGTGCTTGGGCTCCTCTGACAACGGAGGCCTCTGCCCAGTCACGAATATAGGAATGGGATGGAGGTTGGTCTGCATGGTGTTTAATCTCTTTGGCGATACACGGTTGCGCTTCAGCACGATATTCATCCAAATTGAAATAAGCAATGGAAGCATGGAATAAATCCCTAATTCATGGGTTCTGCAGTGCCAGCTTAGATAGTAATCGTTATTGGTTCAGGAGAGCCATGGAACCGCAGAAAGGCAACAGCCCGTACGTTGAAGGAAAATTTTAAAAGAAATTGCGGGGACAGAGCACTGCGTCTGGAAACTAGATACGCCGACATACACTTGGACATATTTGCTCAATTTTCTTCATAAAGTTTGGAAAATGCTGGACTCATACTTATACCTCAATGTGGATCATCAGCAGTAGATGCCGCTACTCTTGATGTGGCATTGTTACAATGTCGCCTTGTGTTCTCTAGGTTCTCTGCTGCGACAAGATGGCAGCCGGCGACCACGGTCCCATAGGAACTGTCTTCCGCCGTATGGTTGGTTTCTCCGCTGCTCTGGACTGGAGGCCACTGCTCTTTGTAGAGCCCGCCATTGCGGACAGAGCCTGCACCCTGTGCGGTGTGGTGTGCAGGAAAGCAGTCAGGTTGAGCTGTGCCCACACCTTGTGCTCGGACTGCCACGCAGAGTGTGTCGAGCAAGGAGGCACCTGTCCACTCGATCAGGAGCCTTTCTGCGAGGACGACCTGGATCGGCTGGAGTGCTCTGCAGGATACCTTGGAAAGCGCAGGGTGAGTTTATTTATTTATTTAAGTAGCTTAAAGGTCCTTTGAAGAAAAACATTGCATATGGGGGGGAACAAGCATTTCGAGGGAAAGCTCTGACTAGAGACTTTGCCCTGCCTTGCATTTGGAGAGGGTAGACCCAGCATTAAGGTCTGGTTCCCTCGCTAACTGTGATGTCATAGTGACTGTGGCATCAAATTGCTTTGATAGCTGCTAAGTAAACCTGTTTAGTTATATTCTTAATGAGCGTGTTGGTAAAGTATGCTGGATAACAGAAATAATCAAACGTAGAGAGGGCAAATGTACTCGTCTCTGTTTCGTCCTCTCTATGCTTTATTCTTTCTGTTATCTAGTATACCGTTCGGTTGACCACAGATGAAGACGTTAGGTAGGCAAATGGTGGTAGGTGTTGGGCTTTTATATTTCGGTATATTGGGCGTGGATAACGCCCCAAACAGCTCTTATAAAACATATGTGAAAGATGCTTCTAAAAACTTTAAAATTTGTGTTTACTAGTTGTGTTTAAGCCATATATTATGCGGCAACTAACAAAGTAACAATACTGGGAGTGGGCAACAGTACTAGATGCACAACTCTAGAAGCAGCAATGTTAATCTCCACTTGGGTCTTTGAAGAACTATGGCCACTGTACTATATGCAGAGGGCCCTTGTT